CTTCAAAGTGTAACTTTGGAGATCAGCTGCATGCTCAACTACGTGATCGTCTAATTGCTGGAATCAATATTCCTAAGTTAGAGAAAGAGTTAATTCAGACTTCTTCTTGTACCTTTCAAACTGCTAAATATTTATGCATTACACATGAAGATATCAACAGTGAATACTCTGCTCCCACTACGTCAGTATCTGATGTCATGCTGTCCAAAATCGAAAATACAAGTGGTCATGGAAAGCAATCCAAATTGTCGTCCACAGGTAATGGAATGCAGCGAGAGATCAAATACATTAAACCGTGTTTATCCTGTGGAAAGTTACATCTACGAAGCACTTTGCGTTTTCGGGGTGCTAAGTGTCATAAATGTGGTAAAGTTGGACACATCAAGACTGTTTGCAGAAGTTCGAATACTTATGTTACTCAGAATTCTTATAATTTTCCCAATCTGTCTAGTAAAACGGAGTCAATGTGTCTTTCAACTTTTCAGAATACTCAATCTCATCCAATGAGAACCTCCACTACAAGTTCAGTAACTCAAGCGTCAACTGTTTTCAAAAATGTGGTAGCCGAGTTACAATGCGAACTGTCGAAAACACGGAAAAAACTGAATGAGATGAGAGAGCAACTGATTAAAATGGAAGAATTGTTGCATATGCATAGACTGCGTCTGTTGAATGCAGAGCATACAAGTACCCGTGAAAGTCCTACAAAACTTTTCAAATGTCGAATTCTCAAAATGCATCAGATGTCCACAACTTCGAATGCACATTATTACAAAGGGAATGACTATAGATCTTCTGCTGGAATCATACTACGAAAAATGGGAAATCGAGTGGTGAAGATATTAGATATCAAAGATCACTCAGTTCATAACAGACACCTGGACAAAGTGACAATAAATGAAGTAGGTCGTTCCAATTATTATTTTAATGATTCCGCTACTAATCCTGATTTTGTAGATAATTCAGAAAAAGGTCCAGATAATACTGATGAAAATAATATCACAGAATCAGTTAGAAGGTCGCAGCTACTTGCAAGCAAACCGAGACATCGTTATAAACACGCAAGGAGATATTCGACGTGTGGCGGATGTGGTGATTGACAATTTCTATCTCTGTATTGTTTAAATACTTACTGTTGATTGTTAATATGTTTCTTATATGAATTGCATTATAATTCCGCTGAATACAAATTCCTGAATTCCGCCCTCTCTGTGTTCTGGTTGGATTTGTGTAATTCGGTCATCTCGAAATACTAATACTAAGATTACAAATAATTTCTACATGTACTCAAACTTCGTCGAATAAGACTGTTTCACATACACACAGATGACTTCCTGTTGAGATTTATTCGACTGGTAAATTCTCTGCAATGCATCTTAATGTTATTTGCACACCAGCATTTCTGAGATAATTAGACGTAGAATCTACTTACACCTCTACAATTAATATCCAAGATACATCGGTTAGATGGGGTTAAGTAAATGATTACAGTTGGAGGTACGTCTTAGAGATACGCATTCAGAAATTTTATGCATCTGTTATATCTTGGTCACAATTCGGTTTCACCCAATACAGACTAGGTTCAGTCAAAGGATATACATGTGCAATACATGTCCAACTTTAAACTGATTACCAAGTCACAAAATATGACGGTGATTAGATACCTTAAATCCTCTTAAACCGTGTACTATGCTGAAAAGACAATAATGTTGGTTTACGATGACTAAGAAAACCATATTAAGCTGATTACCTTTTTCCTTTCTCAGGAGTATAGTTTTAATAAAGGCTATCGGAGTTCTAATGTGAGGTTAGCTGGATTATATTAGCCGCTCACATTTCGATAATCAAGAAAAAAAACCATTTCTGTCTTTCTCCATGAGTTGGAGTTCGCTACTTCACCCAACCAACAATATAATTTGCTATACAGTTTCCTCAGATTCTATTAACGCTGATACCATTGCAAATGACTGATGTAAGCAGAAACCATTCTTAGTCTCTTAAAACCATACCGCCAACTTCTTGCGGGGACTTTTGACGTCCGATTTTCGCTCACAATTGCCTAGTATGTCTCATATGATAAACCCCTGACATATATGGCTGTGTATTTCTGAGACTCGCTTCCGTCTGTGATCAAGCGATTAACCCCACCTAACCGATGAGTAAGTAGATTCTACGGCTAATTCTCACAGAATTGCTGGTGTGTAGACAACATTAAGCTGTATTATAAAGAATTTACTAGTCGAATGAATCTCAACAGTAAGTTTGTCATGCTTCATTATCTTGTGTGAACAACACCGTCGCTAGCTTCATGTAGTCTTCTCTTTTTCTCATACCAAATTCAGTTTCCACTAATTATAGTATGAATTTTATCATTAATAATCAACTTTTCTTGAAAAACGACCTGCTTAGCTTCTATCTTTGTGATGATTTTAACGCTGGAGTAGAAAAGACGAGCGGCTATATTCAGCGGATTCAGATTAAGTGCAGCGGTACTCGTCTTCCATACCTTCGTCCACATATTAGCTGATGGATGTAGTAGTTCTGTAACAATGTTTTATTGTTGGCAGATACCCGGAAAGCTGTGTCTTACAAGTCAAGATGCTTCACCTGAACTTATTTAGCCGCTTAAGAACCTATGAAAAGTTGTCGCCTAAAAAAATGACAACTATAGGCGTTTTCACAGAGAATGTCATATATCACGGTTCTTATTCCATCTAGTCATAAATAAATTGTTAAAAGCAACAATGTTGTGACGCTGGTGGACACGTCTTTTTCTGAGAATAGAGAATGACTTAGTTGATCATAATTAATATTGAAAAAGTTAACTCATGTATTATGGGATAATCGTAGTACAGGCACAGTGCTCACTTGCACAACTTGCATCATGTTTCTTGTTGGTGAGGTATCTGGATCATAAATAGATTCGATGAGACATTGATTTTTCATTGGTCTGGGTATTAAGGAAATGTGTTACATACTTGATGAGATAACTTCTTCGAGCAGTAAAACTGAATGGAGTAGGTTTAGGCTAGAAGATGGTATCATTTTTGGAAGTCAAGCATTTGTCTGAGTAACACAGGCGGCTCTAGGTCATTCGAGTGGATTCTTTGACTTACTAAGTAGTCACCGTTCCGAAACTCTTAGTCACATGGCCATAATTTGTTCACTTCTGATGGTATTCAAAAATCACCTTGTTATCAGATTAATATACCAACTGAAGTTGAATTATTCTCCCTAGTGCGTCGGTGGCATAGCGGTTAGGACGCTCGCCGACCATGCACATGGTCCGGGGTTCGATCTCCGGCCACCGACGCACTCCTTTATCTCGCTAAGCCAGAAATAATGCTGGTAAAGAGGAAAGGTTGGGCATGAAGCTAGCAACCCCATCCTGTAAAATAAACACTGCTACAGAAACTTCAAGCTTGAAGCCCTATGTTCCACTGGGGAACGTGTAGGAAAAAAAGAAAAGTATTCATTTTTGTCCACTGTAGTATAATTTGCATCTTTTTTCTTCCTTTAATTGTGTTTTTACTAAGGTTGGTAAGGTGAATAAGTAAACTTATGCAAATATTTCTACACTATTTAATCTGTTCATTCATCAACATTACTTTGTGTTTTACTGATTCTCCTAGAGATTAGCTATCAAATTATTCTTGAGATTTAAGTATTTGCTTTTATCTTAACTTATCCTCTTAAATTATACAAGCTGCCTTAAGTCTTAATAACAGGAGTCAAATACCTTGAACTTACTTGTATTTAACTGTTCGTCTCTGTACATATCCGTTATCGGTCACAGGATTTCATCATGAAGTGATATTGGTTAGAAAACCATTGGAAAACCTGGGAGTACTGGAAAGTTGTTTCGTCCTAGTTTGGGACTCTTCATAGTACAAACCAACAGTTGAAAATCAGTTATTGTTATCATGTTACGACAGGATTTTATCCCACCATTTTTGGTTACTCTATCATTTTTAAGTGGGAGGGGCTTTTACAGACAAGAAGTCTCGTCCTATTTTTTCATTTTTGCTTGGATAAATTCTTATTATTAACTCCCTACATATAACACTCTTGCTAGAATTATTTGGAAATCTGGTTTCTTTCGTTGGTTAAATGAATTACAGTGGACAACGTCTCACAAAAATGTATTGACTAAAGTTAGTACACAACCTCAAACAGAACATTAGGCGAAAATCAATAAGTAACAAAAAATTCAAATAAACGTGCAATAGAACGTGACTATCTAAGTGATAGGTGAATATAAAGTGTTTAACTTTTAGTTGAGAAAAGAAAGCATCTGTGATCTATCTTTGATCATTTCATGGTCGACTAAAAAAATGTAGATTATTAAATATCTTACTGTAGAGATATGTACCGTTTACATTTTAGAAGTGCCTCATATATGTAATGGTTGACTTTCAGGCGGTGGATCCTGCACTGGAACCTGATGCAGTTTGATTCATCCTGAAGAATCAGTTGTCGTCATTAATTATCACATACCGATTGTGAGTTATAGATTTAGTTGCATATTTTTATGTGGTTTCAAAGTTACTCAAAATTTCTGTTTTCTTGGTGGAAGAATATTATTACCAGAAAAGAATTACACATTTGGATCTAGAAAACAGCAAATAGTTCTCATGATTCTTATTAAATTAGGCGTTTTTTAGAAAACAAACGACTGCTTACTCACTTAAATTTTTTGCTCATTAGCACTTTTTACTTTCTGTTCAACTGAAAATAGAACAATTATCAGTGTCAGTTGACTAAATTTCCATTTATTTATGAATACGATGCCGTGAATATCGCCTACCATGAGGAATGAATAAGTTCCTCTCACTCAGCGAAACTTTATTGAAAATAGTATATAAGTGTTTCGCCTTTTGATGATAACATAAATGCGGTTAAAATGTTTTGAATTCACTTGGATGTTAAATTTGTATTATATGTTGATAAGCTAAGTTAGAACAAATTCAAATCTTTGAATTTCTTTTGAAAATTGTTATTTACGGTGTTTTTGTTTTCTGCATTTGTCTTGTTTTCTCTATAATGGATATGTATCTTTGCATTGTACTCAATGACGGCCTTGTAATTCCCTGCGGAATCGATTTCATCAGAAAAGATTTAGTCATCGGAAGACTACTACTTGATCCAATGCTGTCTGACGCATGAAATCTCTCAGTGAACACAAGTTGCTTATATACATTCGGAAAATGATTTTCTAATTCGCTCAGGGCTTTTTGTACATTTTTCAGTTCGTTAGAAACTATACGTAACTGCATACATGGAAGAGCAGTTACTGAATAGATTGTATTTTCATCTAGTATAATACGACACTTACATTTGCATTCAATAGCAAATACGCGCCTATCAGTGATTTGTTTTAATTCATCAATCATATTAGACAGTCGAGTATCATTGCATGTGTATAAAAGTTTATACCAAAATTCTGAGGTATTTTCATTGATTTTCGGTAAATAAGTTGGATAACTCAGATTGGTGTTTTGAATTGCTGAAACACTCGGTGCATTATTGTTTGCTGGTATTAACTTAATATTTTGCATCTTTACATCACCTTCTGGGAAACAGTTCACTAGTATTGACTTTCTTTTTGTTCTTTTTCTGTTGTTCACTTCATCAAGATAAGCAGAACGATTTTGATTTCTTAAGCTGATGTTATTACCAGACGTTGTATTCTCAATCTCATCATTGACGTCTTTTATGTTACTTTTAATATGTGCAGGCATATCTTCTAGTAATTTCTTGTCTAAGCCGCCAAGAAATGAATAAATCTGTTTAAGTTTACAGTGAATTTTATTATTTGCTCTAAAGGGTAGAACAATTTCATCGATTTCATATGGAATAACAGTTAGATAGGCAGTAAAACCAAATTGGTTTTTCATCTGGACAAACCTCTCATTAAAGCAGCCAGTATTGTTGACTTTGTCGCCATCTCTTTGATTTACATTAGCTTCTGTCAGCAATTTGTAATTATTTTGTTTTTTGTTTTTAACTTGTTTATTCATTGACTTTTGTTGCGACTTGTTTCTCTTTCTGTTGTGTGGTTGATTTTGAGCTTGACTCGAACTGTGGCCAATTTCTTCGCTTTTACCTTTCTTACTTGCAGTATGTTTATACAGCTTAAAGCATTGAGTCGAAGGAATAGTTTTTTCCTTTGTTGTTATTTCAGTTGATTGACAGTCATATGTATTATCATAATTGTTATGACCTGATTCCGACTGGTATGCTTTTCGTTTGTCACTATTACTTTTGTCTTTGAGCTTCGTTTTTCTAGTTTGTGTAAAATTGGACGGTTTCGTTTTTGAATTCTCCATATGTTGTCGTATTTTGTATAGGCGATTCATATCAGAATTGAATTTATTTAGCTTCTGGTATGAGTTTTCAATGTCAGATTGAGAGATTAAGCTACCACATGTTTTACGCACTAAATTAACGTTTGATTTACGCTGTAATTTTTTTAGTGGTTGCATAGCTTTTTCTGGTTGTTTCACTTGATTACGCTTAACTTTTCTGGGTGATTTATTCTTTTGCAAATATCTCCGGTGTTTTGTCCTGATTCTGCCACTTCTTTTGCCTGTACTTTTTACATTACTCTGCTTGCTAGATAAGCTTGTTATCGCAGGTTGCCTTCTGGTAGACTTATCCATTCGTCTTGCTTTTCTACCTTTATCATGACTAAGTGATCGAGGTTTAGACGTTCCACTTTTTCTAGCAGATTTTTTATTTGTTAACTGTGAAGACACTGTACTGAGTTTGGTTGATGACACCACTCTAGTTCGTCTACTTGTTTTAATGGCTGCGCTTCTTGTTAATACTGATTGCAAATGATAACGAAATGGCCTTTGGTATTCATATCTGCTTCGATGAAATGACCTATGTGACTCCCATTTGATTATTTTTGGCTCAACAGTAGATTCTAACTCGGGCTGAGGAGAATCATATGCTTTTATCTCCTGGAATGATGTCGGCAATGAATCGACAGCTTCTAAACTATCGGCTTCGTATTCTTTAGCAGTTTCATTGCTTTTCAATTCAGCTATCTGTGTGACAGTATTTTCTTGTGTTGCTTTGTCTTCTTCATTGTTTTCCAAATTTTGAATGCGCTTATGACCTGTAGCTAATCCTGGTCTAGGTTTTTGCTTGTATGCAATGAGTTCATCTGATGTAGAATGAAGAAATTCTGAGAGTACGGAGAATCTGAACGTGTCTGATGTATCATCAGCTGGTTGAGGTATACAAAAATAGTGATTTTTAATGAAATCTTCTGATAAGGTAGACGATGTAAGGTCTTCAATGTTCACTAGTGGTATTTCTGCCCCTCCAGCTGTAATTTCGAGACGGTCACTAGCATGATCATTTAATTTCTCACTGTTTTGTTCTGAAATGTTTTTTGGGTTTGAAAGACATTGTCCATCTAGTGATGTCGATGACATGCTGTTTGTCTGATGACCTAGAGTAGCGCTTTCGGCAGTACATGTCCCCTTTGATTTTTCTGAGTTAGTATTGTCAAAGCTATTGTTATTGTACTGGGACTTTTTGACTTTTCTGGGTGGCGACATCGACTTATATAAGCCACTCACTTTATTATTATTATGAGACAGTACTGTAGATTTCATTGAATTTCTATCTTGCGAGTATGATGGGAGATTACACCGACTACTAGGCACGTTTCGACAAGTGTATTTTCTGAAATTTATTGGAGATTCTCTTAAACGAGACCAGTACCGTTTTCGTACTCTTGTTAATTTTTCATACAGTCTTTTGAGAGCTGCATCGTTATTTTGTTTAAATATCTGTTTTTTGGTACAATTTTCAGTTGCATATGAGAAGTTTGTAGGCGATGTACTAAAAGCTTTGGTAAATCCTACTTGTGCGGTTTGTAAAACCGGTGATGACGTTGTAATTCTATTTGTTTTGTCAGTAATAGTTTTGGGATCTTGTGTGTCATAGCTATCACCCAACAGGCTATTATCTGACCATAGTAAATGAGTACTTTTCTCAGAAGAGTTAATGTTTTTTAAAGCTTTATTTCTACAGGACTTTTTACTTACTTTAGTTATACTGTCACTAATGTTATCTGAATTTTCACCATGACAGAGAGCCTTTGTATTATATGAACACTTTTGTACTGACCTCTGGATATCATGTTGTAGTTCATGATGCCTCAGTTCATCCCTACCTAATTTGGTACCTTTTAAAATTTCTAAATCATTGTATTTATTAATACGGCTACTGCTGTCAAAAATACAGCTAATTTCATTGTTTGATAGAGGCAACATTTTGGTTGACACTGAGTTACTGACGTATTTTTGACTATCAGTCATCGACGATGAATCATTTCCAGGACATACTGTTACATTAGTGTTTGATTTTAGGGGATGTTGATGTTTTATAGGACTCGTTAAACTATTATCATTTTGTGATGGTAGAAAGAAGCGCGTCCTTTTAATGGTTATTACAGTACGTTTTCCAGAGGTAGTCGTTTGCGATGACTCACTTTGATTTGTTTCAAAACTGTGTATACGAATTTGTCGACTAGCCCAACTACCTGCATCTCTTGTATTATTTAATATATTTGTTTCAGATTTCTCGGGTGTATTAGATATTTTTCTGTCGACTGATTGCATTGAGCTGTCCGACAATGATGTTTTAGTACGGAAACTGAAGACTTCGTTTGAATCGAAGGGACCTACATTCTCTTCCGGATGATCACTTGATGATGGTGAGTGTTTTTTGACGTATCCAAAGATTTCTTTATATTTCTCAAGGTTTTTATAATTTACACCACTAAATTTCTCATTATTGTCAGTAAATATGCTAGTGGACAACTGATTTAGGCTAGTACTAGTTGAAGAGATTCCGTCACTTGGAGTTACAGTATCCTGACTAACAACGATGTTAGGCAACGATTCTAGAGCCTTGCGTATTAATTTTTCTTTTCTTTTCTGTTGTTTTAAGGGTAACGGAGCATTTGCACTTAAAGCTCTGCCTTGTGCTGATTTTCTCCCTTTTTTAATCACTTTTATTTTAAATTCGTCATCATCAGGTAACTCTTTTATTCTACGCTCTTGATATGATTTTTTCAAATTTATCTCATTACATACTTCGCTTTTTAACCATCTTTGCATCCATTTATCTATCATTTGATAAACATATAAACTTTTCCTCCTCTGTTTCAATAAATTTGCAGTACACCATGCTTGATTTAAAGACTTTAAATCAGAAATGACATTTGGGAAATTAGTAGTATGATCAAATGAATGCATTTTGTATGTTTGAAATCAATTTACTTCTCACTTAAGTATGCCAGTTGGTATTAGATGGTTGGAGGCAATGCCACTATGCCAGTCATGACTTAACCATTTTCTTCCGGAGTTTTGTTAAGTGTATGCATGTCTAAATAATATGCAAGCTTCACAGATTTCTCTGCTTGAGATGAGTATATATCTAAGTAAAATACATACAATATCTTTCTTTTTCTAATCTTCAGTGTAAGATCACGTGAATCATGCGGCATTTTAAATCATGAATATTGACTGGAATAATTAAATATAACGACATATTTAGGTAAGTATTTTTGTGCCGTACGTCGACAATGCATAGCTATCCAATTCGATGCAGAGGCATACAGATGTTCATTTGACTATATATTTTGATGTTTAATAAAACCTAAGCTATTCTGCGAAAGAAGTAGTTGTTTGCATAGCAACACGTCCAGGAAAATCTTGTTTTTTGATTTCTCCAGATATTCTGGAATTTATTTTAAATGATTTCAGAGTGATATTATTTGATTCGGTGCTCAAACTATTCCAGGGTATTTATAGTGTCTGTCATCTGTATATTTATAATCGTATTTGTTAAACTCACGGAGAAATGTGGTCGACTTTTTATTAGACATGAGTGCCAACTAGCACGAAACCTAGGTCAAAGGCTTCCTGCCGATTGCCTCCAACCATCCAATATTAGACATAGTGTTGGAAACTGAAAATAGTTTCGATTTTGGAGATTGATTATGTAGCATAATGCCAAGTATGCATATGGTTATCGCAGGCTGTAGATCAGAATGATTTTATAAGATTCACTAAAGTTTCTTTTATGTCACGACTAAACCATTCGGACGACTTCTCCGACCACGACACTGACAGAAACCTGTTCAAATCCTTAAGGGCATGAGTTGTTTTGATTTTGAAGTTACATCTAACCGTAAGCACGACATCTTGGTCCAGAGTTGTCTATTAATTACCTCCAGTCACCTGACATCGGTTCAGAATGTACGGATAAAGACCAGTCGCCCGAATTGGTAACCATGTTATAGAATTCGGCTGGTAACATTCAATTAACAATAGGGACAAGAAAACATGACCAGTAAATCTATTCTTTACACTTGTTTTGAAGCAGACATATAGTAACTGATTAGGTAAAGCCGTCCGAATTTTTGTTCATCGTTGTTTATAAATACAAATGAAAACCAGGTGGGCTTCCTAAATACTTCTCCATTCAAAATGTAATTAAATGTGGCTATTCCTATATGTCATGTAATATAAAAATCTGACAGGAATATTAGCACTCCAGTTTCCCAAATTAAAGTATATTTAGTGTTAGACATAATAATGAAGTGACTCTTGATCCTGAAACGTACACCCCATAAGAGTAGTCCACTGTTTTCAACACCAAACGTATTCAAAAACATTTTTTTTTGTAACGCATACAATGTTTTGGTTTGCAATTAATAGTGTTCTCTGAGCTGGTTGGTTTCTTATACTTCTAACCCATTTGTTGATTACAGTTGCCTTAATTTGAGTCGGTCTCAAAGGTTTTACATTCCAGTTTACGTCTCAGTTGTTTGTAGGCTGCGGTAAGTTCTTCTGTACGTATAAAACTCTGAATGGTAGTCTACAGACTAGCAGTTTACTTTTCTCTCTATTTCAGGTACTCCAGGAATAAATCAGTTTCCACTTTGTACGCAGCCAAAAAGTGGACACAGCCCACACACAAGTATATGAAATTTAACTGTCCATCGCCTGCATTCATCTTTTTCCGAATTTTGCTAAAAGATTTGTTCACCTTCACCTAAATTTTTCAGAATCCCCAGAAAACTAAGCTACAGAAATACGGTCCCGATACTCTTACAACCACGCTGCCAGTTTCACATTGAAAATTTCAATGTCCGAATCTTAAATCAAATTAGATCTTACTAGCCGAAACTTTAGATGTACGTTATATTTCTAAAACACGGATACAAGGCTGAAGTTTAGTTATTTACTCCACTTGACCAACAAGGTGATTCTACACAACGCGTTCTATAGATGTCAAGAGGTTTTCTGGTTAAGTTTTGAGAATTTTCTGGTGTGGAGGTAGCATTTACCACCCACCACTCGACTGAATACCAGTAGATAGTTGTATCTGTTGTAGCCTGCCGATTAAATCTGTGGAAATAAGGGAAAAGCTTGCTACTTGTCAATACATTCTTAGATCTCTCTACTCCCATACAAGCTGTTTGCATTTTAGACCTAGTAAAGAAGCATTGAAAATGGACCCAGAGACAACAGCGGACTTGATGACGCCATTGCTGGAGAAGGTGTGGAAAGAGGGCAAAGTACTCAAGGATTGGAAGAAAGGATACTTATTCAAACTACTAAAGAAAGGAGACTTAAGTCAATGCAAAAACTGGCGTGGAATTATGCTCCTGTCCATCCAAAGCAGAATACTAAACCGTATCATCCTGGAGAGAATCAAACACGCCTACCTGGATGAAAAAATTCGACCGGAACAAGCTGGATTCAGGAGAAACAAGTCATGTATTGATCAAATCGCCACTCTACGGATCATCATTGAACAAAGCTTGGAATGGCAGTCACCTCTCCACCTCACTCAACTTCATCGACTTTGAAAAGGCCTTCGATGGTGCAGCGTCGATCGAGAGGTGATTTGGCAACTACTTCGCTACTACTGTGGGGTCCCATCGACAATTATATATCTCATCCAACAGTTAGTTGTACGACAATGCTGCATACCAAGTAATCCACAACGGGAAACTTACGGAAGCCTTCGAAGTGAGGACGGGAGTGAGACAAGGCTGCTTACTATCACCAATGATCTTCCTGATTGCAGTAGATTGGATAATGCGACAGACAGCGGCGAGCAATGAGGAAACAGGCATTAAATGGACTCACACAAAAATAGAGCTTGGAGGATCTTGACTTCACCCACGATGATATATGTCTGATCTCCCACAAACTGGAAGATATGCAAGTGAAAAGCAACAAGTTGGCAGACGAAGCATCAAAGATAGGAGAGACTTAAGTTGAACATAGAGAAAACAGAGGTGATGAAAATTCCTGGCCAACACCAACAGCAACAACAACAACAGACAACAATTAGGCAGCATAAATTGGAGGAGCCTGAAACAAACAACCTACTACACCTACCTACCGACCTACCTGGGAAGCATCGTTTCAACTACAGGCGGAACTGATGAGGAAATCGGGAAAGCAAGGCAAGCTTTCATTACTCTTAAGTCTGTGTGGAGGTCAACAGCACTCAGGATCAAAAATAAGATCCAGATTTTCAACTCCAATGTGAAGTCAGTGCTACCATACGGATCAGAGACTTGGCGCGTCATAAAGAGCATCTCCAACAAAATTCAGACCTTCATTAACAGTTGTCTTCGCTCAATACTCAAGATCGGATGGCCGGCCAGAAAAGATCAGCAACAGGGTGGGATCTCTGGCAGTGAGCGAACCAACACAGCAGGAACCGATTGTGAAACAAATAGGCAGGAAGAAGTGGAGATGGATTGGCTGGCCATACTCTGAGGAAACCATCAAGTGACATCACTAGACAAGCCATTGCTCGAGTGGAACCCGGGTGGGAAGCGGCGAGTTGGTCGTCAGTGCAAGGGTGACTTGGAGGAGGTCATGCGAGGAGGAGATGAAAGCATATGGGCAGACTTGGAGCGGAGTGAAAAAGTTGGCAGAAAACCGAAGGCAATGGAGATGCGGAGGTGAAGCCCTATGTTCCTCTAGGAATTAAAGGATATAATAATAATAATAATAATAATAATAAAGAATGAGTCTTATCAGATGATTCCTCGCTTACTGTTTAAAGTAAATTACTCAGATGTAGCTTTTTTAACATCTGATGTTAATTTTTAAGTAGGAAGGATGAGTCAATCTGTAAAACATTTCGGTAATATCAACGAAGTACCATATCGACGAGCCGAAAGGAGTAGTCATATCTTACATTTTAGGTTAGGCAACCTCCTCTGCATAAACTGAACTAATTGCAAACATAAGGCGAGACACTGTTTCATCTGGTGAGATCAAATAAAGGATGAGAATAAAAAAACTGCTTGCCTCTAAATTGTTGAAGGAAGGGATTGATGGAAGATTGCTACTCCTTCTGAGACACCGGCGTACACTTCTGTCATTCATGACACTTCGGTGCCAAGTTCTATGTTGAATCCAGACAGACAGACAGACATAGTGTACGCGCATGTCTGAGGCTGGGCAGATATGGGAAATAAGCAGTTCCGAAGCTTTCGGACAAGGTCTATTCATCAAAGAGTGTGAACTGTGCAGTGATTCGCTCAATTCTTTTTTGTATCCATAAGACACTGGTTGAGAAAGTTAAGACCTGTGTTAACCATTCCGTGCCACCTTCGACAGTGAGGTGTTGGCTGATACAGGATTAGATCGGAAAAGAGTTAGAGAAAAATGTTGTACTAATTCACCAAGTCTTTGGCCGTTTGTTTAAGTCACGTAAAGAGGTCTAGACTACTGTGGTGAAATCCCCTAGACGCTAAGGATCAATGGCTGACAGCTTAAACTTGTGTTTTTCAGTATTTCAGTGCTTTAGAGTAGACTGTACAACCCGTATATGTCATGTAATCTGCTAAGATGGTAATCACATTTCCAGTAGATGACTTGTGACTTTTAGTTTTGAAACTATGGACGATGATAGTTTCAATTCTCACGAGAAAGAAGATATGGCTAATGTATAAGTACGAAAAAGCATCAAATCCAAGTACAAGATAGCATAAAAATATTTAATCATTTGCAACACAGCATTTTGAATTCAGCATATATAAGAAGTGTACACTGCATCTTTCGTAAAGAATCCGGTTTGCAATTTTATGTTAATTTCAAACTTAAACTTTAGTCATATATGTCCACATCAAGTTCACTTTCAACAGTGTGAAAAAAAATTTGGACATTAGGTAAATGATATTCAGTGAATGAAAAACAAACTTTAGTCAAATAATAAAGGTCACATCAGGGACTTGGAGAAGATAGAAGTATTTTCAGAAATACAATCGTTTATGATTCCACTAAACTGAAATATTCACTTTTCGAACCATTAAGAACACATGACCTCACCAGGGATCAAACTCAGGACCTTCAGGTTACGAGGTGAGCCCGCCAACCATCCAATCACTGGG